GCCCCTATATTGCAGTTTGATGACATAACTCCTTGGTCTAGCTTCTATGATGCTGTTTCCCAGGATTTCAAGGTCTGTGGTTCATAGTAGAAATCAGACCTCAACCTGATTAGGAAAAGCTAAATTTTCTCTCCTTTTCATCCATAATCTTCCAGCATATATGCAACTTTTAATCACCTGATCATAAGCATACAGGAGGCTAGCTTAAACTGCTATGAGGTTATAAAAGGTGCTTGGACAGAATTGGATGCTTTTGGAAAAAGAAAAGACGGACTGGAAAAGCTCAGCAAGATGTTCAGAGCTTGCAAGTAAGTTGTAAGAAATTAGGAAGGGATCACAGTTTGGATTGGATCATAATCATGACCTATAGGCAATAGTTAGTGAAATTGTCTGATATTTTCAGTCTTGATCATGGGGTTATGTAACATAAATTTTACTTATTGTTTTTAAAAACAATAAGCATTGATGTTTTAATTTGGACGCCAAATATAGGGACTTCTTCTTGGTTTCCTCCTCTCTTCTTTTCTCAACTTCCCCTGCTCCTCCTCCATTTTCCTCGCCAAAGTTCTCCACTGCTCTTCCCCCCCTCCATATCTAGCCAGCAAGTAATTTCTCCGCAAACAAGGTTACAGGCAGCCATTGAAAAAGCTCTCTCAATCCTATGGAGGAGCATTGATGACAATCATGCAAGGAAGTCCAATAGCAATCATGGTAGCCTAGCCAAAATTCCCAAAGAATTGCTTAAAACACACGACCATAAAGTACACTATTCCCTTAAATTGCCCCTTGATCATGACTCTAATATTTTTGCAGCCAACTTTGCTAATCTAGTTCAATTTTCTGATTAAACCTCAGGAAGTTGAGTTCAGTAGATTATGCTCGGAACTGGTTATGGTCAGCTTTTACGTACACAGCAATGGTGAATTATCCGATGGAAGCCAATTTCATGAAGCACTTGCCTGCCTATCCTGTGGAGGAGGTGCAGTTTACATAGAAAACGCGCTAATTGAAATTTGATCGTAAAGGGTTTTTCCAGTTTCTAACAATACGTATCTTGGTTTGGTTGTTGAAGATGTGCAAGATTATTGATGGACATTCCCCTAGAGCAACAAAGCTTAGCAGGGCTGTTGCAGCAGCAAGTTTGTATTACAACTACTCCAAGACAGAAAAATGCTTCAAGTTGGAAGACGAGGATAATGATCATGGCCTCCAAGGCTGGAATTGGCAGGTAACAAGCTCGACTCATCGCACAGAAGAAGTAATATTAGTCCTCATGCATGCCAGACCAAATTTGTCAGCTTTGGTTAGCATGGTTTTCTATTGTTCTGTTTCAAAGAAGCTAAACTCGCCAGACAAAAGCTGTGCATGTGAAGGTTGGACCAGCGGTTACATGTGTTGGGTTGGAAAATGCTTAATGGAGTACTAACACAGGACTTTAAAAACTGGTTTTGCAAAGACATGCATTACAATCTTAAAATTGCAACTGTGCAGCAACAGTGTAAAAATTGAATCAGTGAATTACACACTTCTGGATTCTGCTAAGTGAATGCTAGTTATTGATTTGAACTGACAAAAATTATCTTCAGGCATGTACAGAAATGGTTATGCCAATGACATGCTCCAATGGAAGCATGTTTCCCCCATCTCCCTACAGCTACAAGGAGTTTGCTGATGATTGCAGCAGACAATTTGGAGTCTGGCCTCGGGAACATTGGATCACTACTGAATTCGGTGGCATGGTGAGTCATCACTAGATAATAACTTTGTCCCATTACTTAAGCAAGTGAATGATTGATGTTCCGTTAAAAAATTCTTGCTGCCGGTAAGAACTAAGAAATCTTCAAGTTTTTTTTTTTTTTACAAAAAAAAAATAAAAATTCGAGCTTTTTCTCACTCATCATGTTCTTGGTACAGAGGATTAACCTGGTGCTGAAAAGATTTGGCAGTAATATCATATTTTCCAATGGGATGCAAGATCCATGGAGCAGAGGCGGGTTAGTATCACTTGGTTTACTGCCCAGTATCTGGAAATTTTATGAATTCTACATCCTGAGAATAATCAAATAGACAAAGCACCTTACTGTTTTTTTGTTCACGGTAAATTGATATTTTAAACTCTCAAATGTGTAAGACAAACTGTTCAACGACTCCTTTGCCATCTTGTTGTAAATATTAGTACACGAGGACATCTGCTGAATGCAATTTGATTGCGATTACTTTTTCAGTGTGCTGAAGAACATATCATCCAGCATTGTGGCATTAGTGACTCAGAAAGGTAAATCAGGAACCAGTTGCTTAAAGGGTTCTAACTTCTAGCCATGACCGATCACTTGACTGTTGCCTTTGTATCTTAAAATCAGGAGCACACCATGTTGATTTTAGGTCTGCAACAAACAAAGATCCAGAGTGGCTCATCGACCAAAGGAGGCAAGAAGTGGAGATTATCCAAAAGTGGTTACAGGAGTATTATGCAGACAGCAAGCAAGACTAGATATAGAGTTCTGGGGATAAAGAAACATATTGTCATGTCTAAATTTTGGTTATTGGAAAGATGCACTTCATCCTAAAGATGTTTGGCTCAAAAGAAATACTCCAAAGGAGTGATTTGTTCGGCAGAAGGACCATACAACGTTAATTGGATGTTCTTGAATGAGAATGAGGCACCAGAATGAATTGAACCTTTTTTTTTTGGAATGAATTGAACTTGTTTTTATAATTGTGAGGGTAGTAACTCCTATCCAGTATCATTAATTGCTGGTGATTTGCCAATAGTAGAGAACAATTCATGCCCAAATAAAGGTGATTTAAACGTGCCTCAAATCTGAGCTGTAAATTTTGAAAAGAAAATTTTAGTTTAAATGTTTATACGAATAGTTGAGGTCAAACTAATTTAGCATGGCCATATATAGGTCACAAACCAGACTCCACAATGGCAATTGTAGAAGCCCCTTACTTTCTCATACAAGATTATGTATTCGAATCTCACTGTCAATATTTGAATTTCGTTGCCGATGCTGAAAATTGTATTGGTGAGTAATTTGTAAGCACTGCTATAAGCGACCTATGATCTTGGTACACGCTTGATTCGTGGTAATAATCGAATCCAAAATTATTCAAACCTCTTTTGTATCAAAAAAAAAAAAAAAGAAAAGCACAAAGAGACACAGCCTACTTGAGGTTGAGCTAATTGAGCATGACCATATTTAGGTCACAAACCAGACTCCACAATGGCAATTGTAGAGCCCCTTACTTCTCATAAAAGATTATGTATTCGAATCTCACTGTCGATATTTGAATTCTGCTATCGATGCTGAAAACTATGTTGTGAATAATTTGTAAGCACTGCTATAAGCGACCTATGATCTTGGTACACGCTTGATTCGTGGTAATAATCGAATCCAAAATTATTCAAACCTCTTTTGTATCAAAAAAAAAAAAAAAGAAAAGCACAAAGAGACACAGCCTACTTGCTAGTAGTTAATGATCTTAGCTTTAAAAAGAAATTAAGAATGTCTTTAGTTGTTTGGGAATGTATCAATTGTCATCCTAGGAAAAATCAACCTTTTTAATCCCCTTCCTTTTGACCTTTTCAAGTTTTGGATCCTTGTGAGAGTAGTACGGTAAACTATGCTTGTAACCATGACACGACCAACCAATTAATGAGAGTAATAGTGCTACACATGCACTGGTAGGCCTTAAAATCAAGATCTCATGCATTCTTGCAACACCCCATGTAAGAAGAGAAATTTGCATTTACCACCTAATATCTTTATTTACTCTCATGGTACAAGGCAAGAACAATTGTTAGGGGTAACCATTTTTCCAAATTTAGGATTGCACACATTTCTATTCTAAAGTTAATTTAACCATGTTATTGTATTTTAAGGAAAAAATTATGCTGCTAGCCTAAAATTTGGTAAATAAATGTCTTTCACTTGTTTTGAATTGAGGTATGACCGTATGAGGCTAATCCACTTCACTCCCTCCTCCTGTCACCTAGACTGCTAAGTGGGAATTCTTGACTTCTGAGTTCATTAGGGCAGATGAGACAGAAGGGAACGTGCGAAGTTCCAACGAATCATGACACAAAGGGAAAAACCCCAATTCTACATTTAGCTGGTCTTATTTTGGTCCCCTTGCTATTACTCAAGCTAATCTTGCAGCTTATCAAGCGAAAAGAAAGGATGTCACTCAAGCTAATATGGTAGCTAATTATTTTAGGGGGGAGGGGGGCATCCAATGCAGTTACCAATTTTGACAATACCGGTCCGTAATACCATCTCATGTATGCATTAATTTAACAAATGCAGATATTAAAACACTACCATGTAAAACATGACAAAATTTGGTACTCATTAAAAAACTGTCGAGGCTTAATTTTTTGCATTTACAGTAAAATCTAGAGATACAGGGTGAATAGTAATGTACCTTTTTAATCTAAAAGTAGGTTTCTCTGCATCTAATTTCTATTGATCCAGTTAAACACTTAAACTCTCTTATAATATAAATTAAAATAAAAATATTGTAGATATTGTCGATTGACAAAAAAAAGTCAACTTAAACACATCTTCACCATGGATGCACCGAGCAATTGGTCTGCAATTGTATAGTCCATTCAACAAAACAGTTAGCCACATCTAACATACGAGTCTCTTGTGTTTGTATCCCTTTATCGTTTGTATTTCTCTATTCCTTCAAAATGTGTGAGCGAATCAATTTACAGAATTGATAGGTGAGGGGACCGAAACTGCAATTTACCCATAAGTAAAAGCAATCATCATAACCAGAGAAAACCACCTTTGACTGAAGTTAATGGAAAGTACACTAGCGAACTAATTACTGCTCACAGCTATTAAATGGAGGTGTGCCAGAAAGGCAGCAGCCCCACTTCCCATTTCCACCTCAAATCAAAACAAAGCAGTAGATCCAATATTCATAATCCTTCCCACTCAAATTAGTTACCACTGCTCCTTTGCTATTGGCAGTTAGGAAGATGTCAAGGCGAGGGGGAATTGTGTAAGGTGCTGTTTGGTTGTATTTGCAGTGGTTTCAGCTCTCTGTGTATCTGGGCCTGCAATTTACTGGAAATTCAAGAAAAGTCTCAGCTTGAAAACTGCATCGTTGAATTCTTGCAGTCCTTCTATTTGTGATTGCTTCCCTCCTCTTTCCCTTCTCAAGATTGCTCCTGGTATGCTATTTATTGGTCAAAGTTTCAAGCTTTGGAATAATTTTTCCTTTTTGTTCGTCACGCCTGTATGATTTCATGACCAAATTTGATATTTTGTGAATTTGAGCTAGCATTTGTCACATTTTTTTAATATCTGAAGAACTGTGGAATTGGGACACCTTAGATCGCTTCTGATTTTCTTTTTGTCTTTATTCGGGATAGTCTTGTGTTTATTCGAATTGAATGGAAATCTTGCATGTTTACCTGGGCTGAAAATTAGAGGGCTTTAAAATTTGTTCTAGATTTCTTAATGCCCGCAATATTTTTTGTGGGTTGAGATCGATATTTGCAAGAACAGTTTACCCTCGTTGAGCGTTCATAATGTAATGTCGGTGCAGTTCATGCCCATTCCAACCCCAACCAACCCCTCCCCCCCCCCCAAAAACCAAAACAAAAAAAAACAAAGCAAAACTTTTTTTTGTTTTTGTGTTGGGGGGGGGGGGTGTTGGGTGGTTGGTCGTGACGGTGTACTAGGCTTTTGCGTGGGAATCTAGGAGTTTGGTGCATGGTTTTTATATTGCCCTATACGATGTTTTCTGGCTGCTTCCAAGCAGTATCCATCTACATTGGCAGAATGCAGATGCATGCATCCCTTCTCTGCTTGCGTTAGCAAAAAATCCACTCTCATTCTGGAATTGAGCAGCCTGACCATATCTTGCCTTATGCAATAGGGGAGATTCTTACTTAGGAGTCCCACCTAGATGGCTGCCATGTGCACCAAAAACGTGGGGACTCCTTAGTCCTTACTTTTGGTACCATAGTGGCATAGCCCCATGCTTTTGGTACACATGCAACTATCTTGAGGAGTTACAATGCAGGGCCTTTACATGCAATAGTTAGTATGTAGTTGCATGGTTTATGCAGGAAGCAAACAGGTTTGTAAAATGGCATATTTATGTATCGTGACTCTGGAGCTCAAAACTATTATCCATCTCATGCAAATCCAGTTGCTAAGGTCATACTTTGAATGGAATGCACCCTTTTGTGTCTTGCTTTACGCTTTTTATTCCAGAGTATAAGATCAGTTTGGATTTGTGGGGTTTAGTATTTTTTTCAGCATTAGTTGCAGGTAAAGATCCTATTTTTCTGCATGAGAAATAGATTTTCTACATGGCTCGAGTGATTAGGGAAATAGATATAATTATGCTGCTTCTCTTTTGAAAAGAATGCCGTGACATACTAGAGTTCTTTCTGTTTGTCTCTTTTTTTATTCAGGATAAAATCTTCATGTTTAAGCTTGATGGAGAATTGAATGTTTGTTGTTAGCTGTTGAAGGTGAGTGCCTTTTTTGTCCTGAGAGAAAAAAGAAAGAGAGAGGGGAACAAGGTGAGCAATTTTTTTTTGGGAAAATTGCAGAAACCTCCCCTGAGGTTTCTGACAGTAGCACTCACCTTCCCTCTAATTTAAGAAATTGCATTTACCCCCCTAATCTTAAGGAATCTGGTGCAGATTCTGTCCAAAGTAGAAAGAGTCCCATTAAAAAATTGTTTTAAGGAGGGAGATAAGAAATTTGTGCCAGATTTGCCGTTCATCTTGCTTGCCTAGTAGTATTAGCAAAGGAAGGACAAATCCTATTATGGATCAATAGACTTCGGGGGGTATAAGTGCAAACCATTTCCAATACACTTGCAACCGCTTAAGCATCAGATAAATGCGACAACTAATAAATGGCAAAATGAGATCTGAACTTGCATGAGCTTATAAATAAGGTCTGATTTAGCAGTACACTACTACAACTGGTTTTTACCGGTAACACAGCTAGTTTTCTTGACTTTAGTTTGGTAGTTAGAGACTTAGAGGTGAAGTGTTGCAGCAAAAAACATGGCTTCTTCCAGCCACAGGAGAGAATCGTAGAAAGCTGTATAACAGTGAAGATGTAACTAAGTTTCTTTGTTGAGGTACTTCATTAATGGGGCAGTTATATAATATATGAAATTTAGGAAAAAGAAGTCAGAGGAAGTCTGGTTTACAAAAGTTAGTTTGATGCTTGATTGACCAGCTCTAATACCATGAAGGAAAAATTGGAAGCCTCACTAAATCTCCCAAGATGATCTTGGGACCTTAGGTTGTGATGCAATAGATATTGAGCACATTCAGTCAATTACAGGAAAGTGATTCACCTGTTGCAATTGATTATCCATTCCCCTTGTGGGTTAGAGTTTAATCTACCAGAAAGTAAATTGGTCCAGTGTGGTAAACCAAATAAAATACAAGAAAACTTCTGAGTTTTGATGCCATGATTGTTGGTATCATAAATTTGATTATCCAAAGGTAAAGCCTACCTCAATTCTTGAAAGTGGTTGCAACGAGAAGCTTCCATTTATGTTTCCTTCATGGTGCACTTGCAGGTTAATCAAACCTTTTATAAGCTTCTCCTTATTCTTGTCTGTTGCTCTCGCTTGATTTCGTTGAACGACTTGACTACTTTGAACTATAAGAAATTAAGGGATTTGTCTATTACATGCTTACATGGCTATCAGAGGTAGTTTTCTGTGCATTTTTAGTGGATGAGAGTTGTCATGGGTGTCTAAGCAACACAATAAGTGATCAAAACCAAATATGACTCCTCTCACTAGATTGGTGTTTCCTCCAGCTCTTTGCTTTCCAACTTATCTCCATATACTAATCGAGTATCAGGTATCTAAATGGAAAGGGCCAAGAAAATGTGACTCGGTAGATCCTGAGTTAAATGAGCATTTGTATTTCGTTGGCATTATCCTCCATTAACCTAAACTTCCTCTGCTGACTTTCATCTTGCCGTTTACCTTCAGCAGTCTCAGCCTGCTTTAATTTGGAGTGGTATATTTGTATTTGTGTGGAGAAGGGAGCTTGCCTGCTGAAACTCTTGATCAAAATTTCTGCTCACAATACGATTCCAGTCAGATGCTTATCAATCAAAAAATTTAACCTTTTGCAGCATATTTTTGTTGCTGCCATCTCTTTGACCAGCTCATGCCAGGGTAGAGGTGGGCGTGTGAGTAAAGGTTGAGGGTTTGTTACAAATTAAGGCAATAGACAAAATACAATGCTAACCTACTGGAGCGTTCTTGTAGTTTGAAGTAACTCATGAAAAACTTACAGAAATGGTTATGCCAATGACATGCTCCAATGGAAGCATGTTTCCCCCATCTCCCTACAGCTACAAGGAGTTTGCCGATGATTGCAACAGACAATTTGGAGTATGGCCTCGGGAACATTGGATCACTACTGAATTCGGTGGCATGGTGAGTCATCACTAGATAATAACTTTGTCCCATTACTTAAGCAAGTGAATGATTGATGTTCTGTTAAAAAATTCTTGCTGCTGGTAAGAACTAAGAAAAAAAAACGAGCATTTTCTCACTCATCATGTTCTTGGTACAGAGGATTAACCTGGTGCTGAAAAGATTTGGCAGTAATATCATATTTTCCAATGGGATGCAAGATCCATGGAGCAGAGGCGGGTTCGTATCACTTGGTTGAGAACGAAGCTCCGATTGAGAGCACCAGAGCTCCGAAAGCGGTTGAGGCGGGTTTCATATAACCTGGACCTAATTTTCAATATAAATCAAACCACCTATCTAACTTGATTACAAACAAATTTTGGAGGTGTAATTGGTAGATCACTTGGTTAACTCAAAGTGAAATTTAATGAACCTATATTGTAATTGTAACATATAAAAGAAAGATTAATCCTTCCTATATTGTCATTATATACACTGATGGTTTTATGTACCTATCATATCATTTCAATTTAAATTTAAACACCAAATTCTGTATTTCAATAAACACTGATGGTTTTATTGTCGAAACTGTTGTTTTATTCACATTCTTTCTTTTTGAGCTATTCACAATCTTTCTACTTCATGCTTTTATCTTTTTTTCTTGCAGGTTGAGTGCAAAGTGATCTCTCTTGCCTCTGTCTATCTTTAATTTATCCGCTTGTTTAAATGAAATGATGGTGTTGCGAGTACTTCTCTGAAGCCACGAGAGGTGGTTTTAGTGAATGTGCAATTTGCCCCTGGAGCAATGGTTCATTTAGTTTCGGAGGAAACTGACTCTCTAACTACTTTTGTTTCAGTATATATCATTTGAGGTAGATAGATCCACCTGTATGGAGGCTGCAAGATTGGTAGTTTGGGAAGTGCTGCAGTTAATGTTGTCGAGTCTTTTGTGCTGTAAGAACTCTCCTCATGAACTGCGAGGACCAATGCCAATTTGTTTGATTAGTGATGCACAATTGCGCAATTGCAGCTGAAGACTTGAGACCTCACATACCAAATGGATAATTAATTCGATGGTACCTAGTAGATCAATGTTCCAAGTTTACTTGGAAATTCATGTGCAATCAAAACTCTGAAGAAAAAGACAATCATGTTCATAAGTTTTCTAATTTATACCTTATCTTCGTTGTGTTTTTTATGCATTAGAAAAGGGATAATTGCACAAACCTCCCTTGATGTTTCTAAAATTTTCACTTAGCACCCTTTAATTTTTAAAAAAAAAAAATCATTTGTCTTCCCTATTTTTAACTTTTTGTAACATTGACAACCTATTACAAAACATAATATTTAAAAACTCAAATTTTGGATAGCGGAGATATTTTCATTCCTAATGTGCCCTTTGTTGTCTTACTTTTTTTTAAAAAAAAAAAAATTGAAAGCATGTAATAAAAAGCTAAAAATAAAACAAACGGTACAAATGTGTAAATTTTGATTGATACAGTATAATCTTAGATATTTTAATGTACCAAAAATTTATTTTAATAATATATTCAAAGTGTTTTCAAGTCAAAAAAGATTGTTCCTTTATTATAAAATGCTATTGGTTAATTTGAGGAGCTTTAAAATTTTTTAACAAAATTTCTAAATTCCTTGTCTAGAGTGATGGCTTGTAAATCATAATTTTTTTTGAATTTTATAATTCTTTGACCAGATCAATGGCTTGAAAACTCGAATAAGATAAAATTCTTAACTATAAATTTAAAAACATATTTGAGGTGTTTTGAAGGTGAAAAATGCTATTATTTTCATTGTACAATTCTTAGGCAACTTTTGTGAATTTTCCAAATTACTTAGATTTTCAAATTTTTAGTAGATTTCTTGTGCAGACAAATGACGCAAAAATTATTAATAGGTCTTTCAACCTTGTTAACACTTTGCAATTCCTAATTAAAAAATCACATTGGCCAAGTGTTCAAAAGTTAAGAGATTAACTAGTTTTGTTATGTCAACAAAATGGTTCACAAGAGAAGGGCAAAACACTGAAATGAAATTATATTCTCTATCTACAATTGAGTGTTATGCAAATGAAGGCAAGTGATTTTTAAAGTTTAAAGGTGCTAAGTGAAATTATCACAAACTCAAGGGAAGTTTCTGAATTTATTCCTGAAAAAAATTACGTCGGGGTAAGGTTAACCTTGCATTTGCGGAGACCAATAAGTACTGAGTTTAGTGAGATCTCAAGTTGCCTGAAGGATGGACTATCATTGGCAATCGGCAAATGATGCAGTATGGCAGGGCAATTGGCTGACATGTTCAGAGCATTGCTGCGAAGTAAATTGAAACGAAGGGAAAACCTTATACGCAGGCAAGAAAGTCATTATCCGTATGAACAATATAATCCAAAAAAGAAAAATCAAAAAAGAGTTAATCCATTTTATTTTTTCTCCAGAAAAAATATTAACCTAAGAGATTATTGTCAAGTCATCATATATATATATATATATATATATATATATATATATATATATATATATATTGCATATTTTGTGGGAAATTTCTCTTGCTGCAATACTTTCTATCTACAGGAAGAGTCACGCATTCTTATATGTCCTGCTTCGCCATATGCTAAAAATTAGTGATTGTTCATCATCAACAATAGAATCTGAAAAAAATGAAAAAGAGTTAATTCTTTTTATATTTTTCTCCAAAAAAATATTAACCTAACATATTATTATCAAAGCCATGTCCTTGTGTGCGTGTGTATATATTTTTTTGGGAAGATGTTGCTTTTTTTTATGTTTCTCTTACAACACTTACCTATCTAAAGGAAGAGCCACGTGTTCTTATTTGTCCAGCTTCGGCCATAGCCAAGAAAGGGATTATCCATACATTAATATAATCCAAAAAACAAAAAAAAAAAGTTAGTTTTTTTTTCCTTTTATTATCCAACCATGTCCTTGCCTTATATAT